CAACATCAAGGGTCACCATCACCACTCCAGAGATGGACATGACAACCAGGGCTTTGATGTGATCAATATCGATGACCCCCCCAGTGTCACTAAGATGTGAGACGCATTGCAATGAACAGTAGAAACTGAGACCAGTGACTGTTAACCTCCCATTAACCTGCTTATTTGTTATTCTATTGTGTTAAACATAGATTAGAAAGCCGTCTGTGGGTCAGATGCAGAACACTTATTGTGAACTATTTGTATTTAAAAACCACACCTGTCACTGTCTGATGACAAAAAAACCTGTTCTCAAAAGTGAGGTCAGGCCATGGAAGATTGTGAAGCTACAATTCAACAACAGAAACAGAAAGTTTTCCCAAATACTCTCCTCAGGGATTATACATTGTGTGCATTTAATTTAAATGAAGATGATTGGTTTGTATTTACCTCTGGCTGCAGAACAGGTTTACTGAGTATAAAGAGGCTGAATAACTATACAAATGTTTTGCCCCGTGAATAAACCCTCCCATTACTTGAAGGACCGACATTGAAGGCCATGCTTTTGACGTGGATGAAGAAAATATATGGTGGTTCGTTTAATAATGCATGCAGCCTGCTGTACACAGAGACACTTGGACTTGAACCATTAGAGTATGTTTAACTATTCAGACACTGAGGCACTAGTAAAGGGCCGGGCTCAGGGGCCACTCCTTTCAAACAGTGGGTGATTTACTTGTGCTTTTCTACTTGAGTGAACACATTGCTAGAGAAAATCGCTGTCCGGAAACACTTAAAATATGCCTGCATGCAGCACTGACTTTAGTACGAAAATCAGTTATCTATGTTCTTGTTAAGTTTGTTTTTTTCATCTCAGGGGAAGTAAATTAAAGGCTATTTTTTAATAAAAAAAATGTGTGTTGTTGTATTAATTATTCTCTAGATAACTGAGCCTGGATGTCACATTAGCACTGTGATCAAAAAGGTGAAAGTGGCGTAATGACAGGTGACAACCCCTATCGAGGCTTTTCATCTGTAAACAAAGCAAAGTTGTGACAGCAAACAGGGATCTAAACACAAAAGAGTGGAAGTGTTTGGGAGACAAGAGCTTGCTGCCCATTATTTTGCCTGCAGGTCATGAACACGAAACCAGATCTCTCCATTTAGAGAAATTACAGCACATAGTGTACGCAAGGATGAATGGAGATTTAGAAGGTTTTGTTGAATGCCAAGGTCTCACTAAAACCGCTCTAATGAACTGCGTGTGATATGTGTGTGTCTGCGCCCAGGGATGTTGCTGTAGCAAGTGACAGTATAATAAGTAGGACTCAGTAAAAGATTGTGAATATTATTTGCAGAGCAGCTTAAAGATGATGAAGATGATGCTTCATAGACAGATTTTTAATAAAAACAAGTCTACAACAGTCCCTTGGCGGATGTTCTCTGGGTGTGTGATTCATATTTTGTCTACATGGTTCACAGAAACTAACATATCATTTGGCAAGGCTGTAGCTGTCATCAAAGATACACACAGGTTGTTACATTCCCAACACCCATGATTTGAATCTGTGCTCACAGATACTTTGATGATGCAACGAGAAAACACTCAGGAGAATTGACGTGCAGCGGCCTAAAGTGCTTTTACACCTACAATGTCCTTGTTTGCTTGCGGCCTTGAATGATCTGCTGATACAAACAAAGATAGGTGTAAACATGGTTTGTCACTGTTTTTGCAATGACAAAATGTAACTTGTAATTATCATGGCAAAAATATTGCGTCATAAAAAGGAAGCCTGTAATAATGCTGCATTATCCTTCCTATTTCCTGTCTAACAACCAGAAATGATTTATTTGAATTACATTTAAATACAACATTTAGCGCTAGTTTATTAATTATCATATTATCATCATTACTACTTGTTGATTGGGGTGGACAAATATTTTAAACAATGTTAATGTAATTCAACAGCACTACAAATTCTACCCTCCAATAATTACTAAGCTAAATCAAGAACAACAGTTACAAAAAGCTGAACGTTATAACCTTCATGAAGATATGCATTATTACAGTACTGTTGTATTATACTGCATTAGGTGTACCTACTGTAATACACCTGCAACATTTCAAACTTGTACCTTTTCATGGTTAGTTTGTGCATACGTACATTTGATTACATTTCAATCAGATAGCAAGCCTGCAAGGATGATCAAGATAAAGTTGCGTAACGACAACCTGTGATGGTCACTTTTTCTTTCCTAAAAGCACAACTGAATCCAGATTTTAAAAAAAGCTTCACTTCAGTCTAAAATTGTTACTTGTTCATTGTTATAAGCCGTTTTCTTTCTGCAGGTGTAAATAGTACATGTTCAGCTTCATACAAAAGCACTGAAATTATGCAAATTATGCATATGTAAAGAAATATAAGGAGGCGAAGAAATGCACTTTGAAAATATGTAATTAGCTGCTTTACTCCCCATATATTATATCATCATGTGAAGCCCAGTCAGGAAATGGAAGATAACTTGAGAGGTAAAAACATTTATTTTGTCACATTTCCCTATACAAAAGCCCTTTTTCAAAAGCTATTACTTCATACATTGCAGGAATGACAATAATAATAATACATTGGTTAATTGTAAAAATTATACACATTTATATATATATATATATTTATATATATTTGTTATCCAAAATACATTGCATATACGAAGTAGCACAGTTCCCTTTTCATTGATGATGCTTGTGAAACATGGAGGTTAAGGGTACATCAGAACCATTTCTTTATGCTACAAATTACAATTTCCCTTTTTTTTTTTTTTTTAAAGCTATAAACTTTCAGAAGCTGAATGTGGATAGTAACACTATTTGTATTGTTTTGCATAAAAATACCTGAATTAGTTAAATGAAAAGCTATTAATTCCAGGGCTATTTGGCTTAAGAAGTGATTCAAAATGGTGCATCCATCATAATCACGTAGAATAGAGAAGTTCCAGGCTGTTAGATTGTGATTCAAGCAGGCATTTGTGGTTTTGGGAATACACGAAAATATCTTGTGCACATAAAGATACTTATGTTACAACCAAATTTCAGAAATAATAACAGTAACAAGAAAACAAAAATGATACAATGTATTGCCCAAATGTACAGATATAAAACGTTTAACATGCTGAACAAACTACTTAGCAGAAATGGACTTAAAAGGTTTGCATTTTTGACCGAGGTCAACTCGTATTAATTCTCTTGACTTTTTATACTGTGTCACATATGAAAATAACTCTGCATAATTTATACAGTAAGTTGCTTTAATGCCTAGTTGACTGATGCTTATAAAATAATAAAAAATAGGTCTGACAAACGCACAGCGTTTGCGAATCTGAGGATTTCTTTGTTTCATCTCGTCATACTTTTTGGTTTTTGTTCTTAAACTACTCAGTCCCAAGTAATTTATTTTCAAGTGTCCATATTCAGTAACTCTGAAGGAATACTTTGGCTATTAACAGCTTTGAACACCTGAAGATGGATATGTATTTAGACATGATACTTTTACATGATGATGAAATCCTGACTTGAGATTCATGTGCATTTTGCTGGGCTTCAGATCAGTGAGAAACTAACATTCAAACACACATGCTGCTCTCAAACTAGGATCCAGCCCTGGTAAAAATGCAACCTAAACTGTCTGCTAACATTACATAACGCTAGGCCACTCCTCTGAGCTGACATATGGAGGAAGGAGGCACTGTGGCAGCCGTTATTGACAGAGTGCACTTCAAAATCAAAAATTGTCAGATTTCTGGTGAGACACGGATATAGATCATTATGAAATGTACTATTCATTAAAAGATTGAATGCTGTATTGTGTATAATGAATATAAAATATATAGTATAACACAGCAGTTAAGGCACTGTGAGGATAACGTCTCTTATTATGCCATGTACTAAAGCTGGATTCACCGTAAGACACTTGGGATAAAAAAAAAATCCAAACAACATACAGACTTGTTGTTTAGACAACATCTCCAAAAAAAGGCACTTTCATGTTTTCGATACAGAAATGTACAGCAAACATGGTGTTTAAAATTAAGGACTTTTTCATTAGACAGAATGAAAACATCTGACAAATTTTGATTTTGCTGCAGGCGATCCCTTTCACGTGTGTTTCACAAACCAGAAAACATTCACATTAATACTGACATGGTCGAGCAACAGAACATCTGGAAATGGCATGGCTGAAGGGTTAACAGCATGGCAAACATTTAAAAGCCTAGTGTGTGGCCCCCTGAAAACATCTGACCTGGGTTGAATTATTGTTGCAAATTACTTCAATTAAATCTTGACTCAGCTTCCGCAGCACACTCGAGTCAACTGTACTCGTCGCCCATTTTGAACTCTGCACACAACACACAGAAAGATTTTAAAGTAAGTGAGTTCACCCAGGTCAGCAAAACATACAGCGCTTCCTTCTCTGGCGTTTAACTCTTCTCTAGCCTTCCAGTTTGGAGGATAAATAAATTTGTGAATGGCATATTCCAGTTGCCAAATTTCATTCAGTGCTGAGAAAAGTCCATCTCTTTGAGAGCTCCTCCTTGTCCAGCGAATTCCAGAAGACTCTCCACACACACATAAAACGATGCTGATGGACAGGCGAGCAGACGGAGGCAGTGGAAACAGAAAGCTAGATGTGGTGGGAACAAGGAACCCCAACAAGGCCGTAGACAGGCAGAAAAGGCAGATGCTTAAAGCGTAACGTGCATAATGTACTGAGGAGGATGTAGATTGAGACCCATAAATAAAAAGGCCCATGTCTGGTTCTGTAGCCTGGCCGAGGAGGGAGACAGGCTCGAGTTGTTCTCCTGTCCTGCTTTGGCTTTGGGGAGGTTTTTTTAAAAGGTAAAAGCTTTAGGAAAGAGAAAGAAACTTAGACGCACATCCAAAAAGCATAAACAAACAGTTGCTAGTCTGGTAAGGGTAAGTAGTATTCCATTTTGGACCATAGCATCCAGTTGTTTATATTTTCTTACAAATATAAAAAAAAAAAAAACTCTCCTTCAATTTTCATCAACCTTCATTTAGGAGCATCATTTCTTCAGAGGACAGACGCCTCGATCAAGTCAGTCTTCATTGGTTCTGCGTCATTTGGGAGTGCAGGTCAGCAATTGTGGACTTTATTTTTGAAAGGATTGGATGGTCAGAGTGGAAGGTTTAATAATAACTACCCAGGTGGGACGGCACGTGGGTGTTGGGGTGGCGGGGAACGTTTGGGTTGGGGTAGATGCCCGCAGTGGGCGAGCTCCAATAGGGAGCGGTGGGTCCAAAGAAATTGGAGGAGGTGACGGGCATGGATTGAGGGTGTGGCGATACAAAGTTGACCTTCTGCTGGTGGGCGTGGTAGGAAGGCACATAGGCTAGGTCCGAGGGGTACTTGTACATGGAGGATTCGGTGGGGTGCGGCTGCAGCGCCTGAGCGATGCCGTGGAAGTCGAACTTGTAGGCGTAGCGCTTGCCGTGCACTTTGGTCATGATATTTTTGTCGTAGTAGTAGCGCAGCGCACGGCTCAGCTTGTCGTAGTTCATGTTGGGCTTGCTCTTGCGCTCACCCCAGCGCCGCGCCACCTCATCAGGGTCCGTCATCTTGAACTCGCCATTGGTTCCCTCCCAGGTGATACAACCGGCGTTGGCGCTGTCAGACAGGAGCTCCAGGAGGAACTGCCACAGCTGGATCTGACCTGAACCTGATGGTGGACACACACAAACGGTGATCAAAGATGCAACACCATAGATGAGCATCATTATAAACCGGAACAACTCATTATCTAGCCTGCATCGAGGTATATACTGTGTTGGAGAAACTTCCATGATAACTGCCTATTCGGATGTATAGTAAAGGCTTACCAGGATTGGCTAGGCGACTACTGGTGGGGCCCAGAATCTGGTAAGGATCTGTGGACAAAAGGAGAGCTTTGTTGGTCTACACAATGATTACTGTGGTGACACACAGTAGGCTAATGAGGAGACTGAAGATAACATAAACACGTAACTTAGCAACAACTGATGACAACATATAATGATGATAATTCATAACGTTGAGATTGTTTGGGTTACCTGGCTGAGGTCTGGGCTGCTCAGTGGACTTGGTCACACTCTGAGGAACCACGGGTGAACCTGCAGAGAAAAGAAAAGCAATCAGTGGAAGACAACGGGGAGACAGAAAGTGAGAGGGAAAGAAGGGTGGTTACAGATACAGGCTACATATCTGAGGCCAAAATAAATAAGGCAGTGTTTACAGAAGCTGTAATCTTCCCACACGTCACGACTGTGGATGTTGGAACTGCCTCTATAGTGTGATACAGACAGGTGTTTGAACCTGAACATATGATAATGTTCACCATATTATGTGAGCCTACTTTCTAATCTGCATTGTACAGCACCTTGTAACTCAGTTTTTGCATGGCCCTTTATAAAGAAAGTATATTTACTTTCTTATTACTACTCGACGTCTAGATAAAAACACATAATGACTTTTGTGCCCTCACCTTTGACACTGTGCATGTTGTTTGACCAGCCTGTCCGCCGTACAGCATCATATGAAGGGTCTGACAAAGAGAGGAAAGAAAGGAAGGCAAAGTTTGAGTATATTTAAAGAAAAAACATTTATTTCAAAGAGGCTAAGAAATGGTGTATTTACAATATTAAATTGTTGCTGTGTGGTAGGACTCCATCTGATGTGCTAGCCTATTACAGGACTGCAACTGTCGCAGCAAAAAATTGGGAATGCAGTGCCAAATGGCATCCATAAATCTATCAAAACATCGTTCTAGATGCCCTTCACAGGATATCTGGACATGGCAATGTGGTTTTGTTTGGCTCGCTGTGATGCTTTAAATGTAGTAGATGGTACAATCTTAACGGAGAACAGTTGGTTGAATAGCTTGCAACACTCTGACCACAAATAAAGGGACTGATGCAAATTATCGTACAACAGAGACACACACATAGACAATACTTGCACATGATACCCACTCTCACCCCTCTCCCCACAGGAGCAGATTTTATGAAACCTTGACAAAGGGCCAAACTGGCCCAGTTAGCATGAGTTCTAACTGCTGTGTGTCTGCACTTCTGAGTGTTAAGCTGGACAGTATCCAGTAACAATCAATTACTCTGACACAAGCAGACAAAACGGTATTCTTCCCATGGCATTGTCTCAAAACACCTTGGTACACTCATAGTGCAGCTGGGCAGCACCCTTGATGGGTTTTTTATTGTTGTGGGCTAAAACAGTTCCATCAGTTGCCAGAATACATGGAAATATGATGCGTTTTGTAGCTAGATGGGCTTTGCACTGTGTTTTATGCCAAATGCTATTCACAGTTTTATCATGACCTGCAAATCTTTTTGTCAGCAGTTTCTCCCAGAGGGCAGAGACAATGTAATGGGGATGACTGAGGTTGTAGCAGGGATAAAAAAAGGTGTTAGAAAGCCAAGCGGCAATCCATTTCCCATCAGTGTATGTAGCCATTTTTGAGAAGCTGGCTAATTGACAATCAGTTGGTTGTTCGACTCAATCCTGCTATAGCAAAGTGGACACCTAATTATTAATTAATAATAACTACTCAGTGTAAAACCATTGTGAATATCAAGGATGTCATTGCTGATAAATACCACCAGGTGTTTCTGTCTAGCATTGTAAAAGTGTGGCTTACAGCATTGTTCTTTTACAAAACATGCAGGATTAATTATCAACCTGATGAGTATTTTTTTTTTACAATTTCAAAGTGGCTGAGTGTGTTGAACCTTAATGCATTATCTGTGTGTATTTGTGTGAGTAGGTGTTTGTTTTCCAGACATGAATATGTATGTGTTTGCAAATGATTCTCAAAAGTGTTCCAACTAATGCGTTCAACTCCCAGGCATGCTGAAGAGCTACCAACAATCAAAAACACTGAAACACAGGTTATTTTACAGTACCTGTATTCGTCTTAACTTTATAGATCTTATGTGTGTTATATTATCTGAACATTCCAACAATTTGGAAAGCAAAACACACTTCCAAAATGATTGACTGGAAAAACTGAGGGGCTTTTAGCTATTATGTCTCAAGAACAAATGAACATCTTCGCCACAACAACACACTAGGGCTGCGTTTGCTTTAATGACCAATATAACTGTATGCAGCCACACCAGAGGAACAGCGTTTATCATCAGATTCCACCTCAACCCTCTCTAAACACTGTACAACACTGCCCTCCTGTGGTTCAGGACATTATTGGTATTCCTAAAATAAACAATACATAATAAGATACATCAATTCAAACTCCTTATTCTTACTTAAGCACAACTGGTTTTACGATTACAGTCTCTCTGCTATCATAAAAGCATATTTCGCCTGATAGTCTGCTCCTTAAGTGTTTCATAATAATATCCTCTGCTGCATAGGGACCGCTTGATCATCCCACTCATTTCAAAATGTTAACCTTTTAACTCTTTGGGGTTTCAGAAAATGGCTCACTCTTGTTTGGAGACCATAAAAGGGGTTCTAATCTCTGTGACTAAAAAAGAAGATATTCAAAATCAAGTTAAAAGTGACCGTACAATGTATGAGGTAAAGTTGAAGGATATGAGCTCGCAACAAAGCCAAAGAAACGTGAATACATTATAATATGATCCTAAGGAGAGTGTGATAGAGTGGAAGACAAAAAGAGGGAGAAGAGGGACAAATAACAAGCGGGCTGCCGTGGCTCAGCGGCGCTGTCAGGTTCAATCTGGTGTGGGCCGGCAGGATAGCCAAGGAGCAGTGACTGGGGGAGAGTCCTGGGAGACTTGCGTTTCCTGCCTGCCTCGCCTGCAGACAACCTCTCTTTGTTTTACTGGCCCTTTTTTCCCCTCTACTCACCGCCAGCCTCCCCCCCCATTCCCCCTCCCCCCTCCATCCTACTCTTCACCACCCTGAAAAAAACACAACGGGGCTACCTCCATACGCGCAGAGAGGGGTTACAAACAGCAGGAGAGGACACGGTGGGGGAGAAGCGGGGAGATGGATGAAGAAGAGATGAGAGAGAAGGTGAGCGAGTCACAGAGAGAGAGTATTGAGAAGCAGACAGATGAGGATGGAGACAGAGTGCTTGAAAAAGGCTTGAACGGAACCAAGAGAAAAGAGAGAAAGAGTGAGAAAATGTCAGACGAAACACAACTGTGGAATTTGAAAAGAAAACAGTGGCGGCAAACCCGGCTACTGGGCTGGAAGAGATGTCCAGTACAACATTTTCTTAATTGTGTTGTTGAAAACCAAATAAGTTTCCAAACTATTTTCAAGCAAGACCAGAAACAATTCAAGGGTTTTAACAATACAATCAATCTGTTTCAGGGTTTAATGGAGTGAATGAAGGGTAGGGAAGTGGAAGACGGAAGCAGATTGTACAAAGCCCAAGAGGTCAGGGGCACTCTGGGCAAAAAAGCCACGCAGACACAGACCCAAATGTGCACACAGAGCCTCCTCTTGCCATCCCCCACCCCTTTCTCCTTCATTTTTCCAGGCCTCGCTCTGACAGCGACTTGAGCCAGTTTCCACTCTGGTCTGGGGTGTGGTGCATGCTCCTGGGAGACTTCGGCTGCAGGACCAGTTAGTCAAAACAAGGCCCGAGCGCTAGACGGAGGGAGAGAGAGAGAGAGGCAGAGAGAGGGGGAGAGACATAGAGAGAATGACGGCGGGAGACAAGAGAAGGAGATAAAGGAGAACTGAGCAAAGAGGGTGAGACAGACTGAGACATAGAAGACGGGTAGATTGTCTAGTGATAGACTGCTTTCAACCTGGAGTCTGAGCCAGGGAGAGGGACCCAGACGGGGCACTCTTTTTTTTAATACCAATAATACAGGTGCAGTAAAAGCCATCTGTACGAGGAAGAAGTCATAAGAGGAAGGAATGATGGCAGTTCAGTTGGTGCATCAGAACAGAGAAGCATCAACGTCAAAAGATGCAGCACACAACCTATTCTCTAAATTAGGGGCAACATTTTAAGTAGTATTGTTTTCATATTAAAAAGAAAACTGCATTTTTATTTTTATTTAAATCCCAGGAAAACTAATTAAAAGTCATAAGAGAAGAACAGCTTGTGCACATAATTATCCTTCTTCAAGTTGTATTGCCAATTTGGCTTGGCAGCAGAATAAATGCCTTCACAGAGGTGAATCATCATCTTTCCTATTTCAGTGAGAAGCAGCGGAGAATGTGAGTGGCCTTGCTGTAAATTATAAAATTCATACATTTCAAAGCAGCAACAAAAGCAGAAGCTAGAACATGAAAACAGTACAAAGGCTCTGGGAAAAATCTGTTTCATAATAGCCAGACAATACCACAAACAACACAGATACACACTGAAACACATGCTGTAACACATAGTGATAAATACAGAAACCCACCACCCACACAGACACAAACACACACAACAACTTATTCATATAGTGCTTGTAAACTTAAGGTACACACTGAGAGCCACACACGCGCTTATCCACAGGCACATAGTAGTAAAATACCTAAGGTACAAACTGAAAATCACACACACACACACACACACACACACACACACACACACACACACACACACACACACACACACACAGACACACACACCCTTTCATAGCTGCTGCATTCCGTGTTTTATATGCTCTCTTTTATTCATAACATTGCATTTTACACCACAGAGTCTGGAGCAGATTAAGGGTTGTCTCCTGCTGCATGCTTGTGCTTACTCTACCCCAAAGAGCCGCTGTGGTATTTGACTGTTCTCGAAAGGCAATATGAACTGGAACATCTGGCAAAGCTGATCTGAGAACATTTTGATAAAGGCTTCCCTTGTAGGAAGGTTTCTTTTATTGTTGAGTCACCAACTCCTAACTCCAATTTTGGTGTATTTCCTCACAGTAATGTTGCATGAAAGTAACATTAATGTGGTTATTAAGTTGCAGAATTTCCGGATGAAACCAAATACGTTAAAACAAATGATAAATGTTTGAATTGGATGGTTAAAAATCTGATAAAATACTTCCAAATTGTTGAAAAGTCACTCTGTTTGAAACTTTCCTCTGTTAGAAACAGTTTAGTGTCCACGATCACGGGACACAACTGGAGCCAAAGTCAGGGTTTCAGGAGCCCGTAATAGAAGTCACCTCTTGTGAAAGAGAAATGCTGTTGAAGGGAGTGATCCTGTATTCCTGCCAGTCCAAATACCTGGCGCTGAGAACCAGGAAGACCGGGGTCAGGGGGTGACTGAGAAGAATCTTATCGGGCCTGCCCATTGGACTATTGGTACTGAAGCCGGGCGAGAACAAGCCTGCTAACGCTCACCACCGGGGCAGATAGAGAGCGGCAGAGGGCATTCTCGGACACTTATCAGACTTAGTGTTTCCTCTCCTGCTGCCTTGATAGGGCCCCTCATCCTGCCAGCGAGCCTATCGCTGTTATTGCAGTCCTGTCTCCCGTCTCTAGTGGTGACACCATATAGCCGATGTAAAGGATGTGTAGATTTTCTACCCTTCGTCTAGCTGGTATGGTGTCAGCACAGAATAATGTTTGTAGAGTGAAAAGGTATCCAGAGGAAAGAGACAATCATTCAGCGCTGCTGTGGGCGTTGTTCTGAGAAACTCAGCTTGGCTTGTGAAAGAATGATTTTACTGGTGCTAAATTACCTACACTGCCATAGCTCTCATTTGACTGCTGCATTGCTCAACATATTTCATTTTTGGTTATATGAAACTTGGGAAAAACAATCACCAAGCAGCTCACGTAACAAAAAGTCCATATTAATGTGTCCTTTACTTTTATGTTCACTCTGTTGTTTAACGCAATGTTCCTTTAGAGAAAGAAGTGTCAATTTTAACAGCTACAAACACTAATGTCAAAAAAATAAATAATATAATAATAATCTTATTCTACTTTCTTTTTGAATATACATACTTAATATATATATATCTTTTTTTTTTTAAAGCTTTTAAATATTTATATATTTGTTTTTTTTTTACAAATTAATTCCTCTTATTGTGTTCATGTAAAAACCTGATTCTCATTCTAAATCTGATCACTCTCCCTTTTACCTACCATCATCCCTTCTGGTATTAATACACTTATACACACAGCCGTAATAAAAGTAGTGAAACACACACTCCTTTTCACTCGAGCCCGGTCTGAAGCAACCAATCAGATCTCCCGCCATGTGTACCTTATGAACACTTGCTTCAGCACCTGTCCCTGATGCCCGTCTCTCTAACAAACATCATTCACACTCTGTCATTCACACGCCTTCTCTCGGATAATTGCCACATTCACCGTCTGTCCTCACCCCTGCTGCTGTAGACTGAACTCATCAGCCCACTTTTGTTAATACGCCTTTATCCTGACACGGTCTCTATGAGCCACTACGTATTGTCACACCGTCCAGGTAGCCGTGAATAGCACGGTCTGCAGTGGCAGCTTGGCCCGTATTATTTCAACAACACAAAAGGAGCACCTGCGCAGAGCTTTGTGTGTGGAAATCATCAAATGCATGTGCTTTGGATCCAAGTGGGCGCTGGGTATGTTTCTGTTTGTATGAAGCTGACACGTATCATTTCTTTTAACACTATGAATTCATGGTTTAAGCCCTTTCTTTCTTTCTCTTTTTTATCCAATCCAACTTGATTTATATAGCACTTTAAAACCTCCAGACCACACAGCTCACATTATTCTCTTTAACTTTAGCTAGAAGACTATTCTCACTGTGATTGATATACAACTATCTCATCAGCCCAAATACTACACACACACACGGACATATATTAAAATAAAGCAAGATTATAAAAAATAGTAGTCCCTACCCTCTTTGGCAGCCAGACGTGGGGAAGGGTCTGTGTGAGATGGCGTATTGTAGGATAATGATGAGCTACCTGTAATAAAGTGAGATAAAAGAGAGCATGGTAAGACAAAACAATATTTAGTAAAATACAATCCAAAAACAAGCATAAAACCCTTTAGAAAATATGGACGTTTTCATAAATTCTTACATTTCAGGAAGCATGCAGTGATTAACAGTACACAGTTTAAATGAATATTAAGGTTCAGAAATAAACGTATCATTTCATTCGTTTTTGGTTTAAGTAATGAGTAATTTGAGATGTGAATTTGTATATTCTTCTGATAAATAAGGTAAGGTAAAATGTAATTACCTTGAATTGTGACAAAAAGTTTGAAAGGTATAACAAAAGCCAGCAGGTGGCAGTACAAGGCTCAGCTCAATTACTGCATTTGCTTCGTTAAATTGTGTACCTGTATGTCTGTTTAGGTCAGAGAAAAAAATAATTTATGACACATAAACCCAGTCCCAAAAGAAAAAAATCCAGCAGACAGTCACTCCTTTAACTGTAGGAAAAACCCCAAAGCCTGTCAGCATTTTAACTGCAAACCTGATTCCTGAATAATAAAGTGAGAGAGGCAACAGTCTGCATATGGCTGCCTATTCATTTCACCTTATGGAGCAGAACTCTGCACTGCATTCCTCCACTTACACAGGCACCCTGGGCGGCACCAAAATGCTCTCTTAATTTTAGCTGCCCCCAGGCATAAATCAGCGAGTGGAAAAACAGAGCCAAAAATGCACAGAGAAAACACAAGAGCAGCTACTGCATGGGGCAGTGTTAAGATTTAGCACCAAGACGGCTACAGAGCTGCTGAGTAAGGAAGATACCTTTTCTGAATGGGGGCAAAAATGAATTTATGATGTGCTTTTTCTTAAAATGTAATCCAGGATCCCTACTTCACTCGCTGGGCTGGTGGCGGTAAAGTTTGGGGGGATGAAGGGGCCCATGATGGCAGACTAGGGGTCTGTTTTTTTAGGGGGGGGAGAGAGGGATCCACAAATGTATTCTAACCTCCCAACACCCCACCCCTCTGAGCTCTAGCTACTCCATGGCACCCCCAAGGCTCTGGGTCTAGTTTAGAAACCTGGGGGCCTCAGAACAGGGGAGCCATTGTATGAGGCAGGGTCCCTGCACAGCAATCAAATGCAACTCCCCGCACAAAAATAATTCCACACGCAGAGTGTAAGCGCACGGGGGCAAGCGAGCCACCAAAAGCTTTGGAATGGGGGAGAAAGATGTTCAGACAGACAGAAAATAGAGGGAGAGAAGGGAGAAGGAGGGGGTTGTTAACCCTTTTCCTGCCGTGTGCCACATATGTGGGCTGACCCAGACAGGCAAACAGGCAGCATTGCTGAGAAAACCTCAAAACCATCCCACAGAGAAATTCAGGGCTGCTGTACGAGAGAGAGAGTGAGAGTCAGCGAGGGAGAGAGAGAGAGACACCACAGCTGACAGTTTGGTGGAAGGAGTCTTGGCTGTGCCGCCTATTTATTTGGATGGCTTCTTCCTCTCTCAGAAAACAAACACGTCCCGGTAATCTGACAGCACAGTGGGAGGACTGGCCAGCGTTCAGCCTTTAAGACCCTCACTCTCTATGGTTCCTTCTCCAGTCACATCTGCACAGTGACTGCTAGATTACATAACATCCACAAACAATTTTCTTTTCTCTCCTTCTTTTGACTGATGGCTCTTTCAAAAGGGCCTTGTCCTCCAGTTTGTGCACGCCAAAAGAGATCTTTGAGGGCTCGGCATTGTGATTGACCACCAGGGGCCCCTGCTGTTTATTCTGTGGAGCTATGTGATACCATTGCCTCATACATGTGGTCTGAGCTTTGTCAACAAACTGAGGGAACCAGTCGCCCAGTTTGGGCATGTTGTCACCTCAAAGCGGCAAAATAAGCTCAAGCCAACAGAAAGGGATCCTTTTATCGTTATCTGATAACACTACCACTTCATACTAGGCTGTCATAGTGCATAAGAAATGTTTTCAACAAGTCGCCTGATCCAAAATAAAAAGTGTTTAGTCATTGCCTTTCAAAACAACTCATGAGTGTTTTCTCAGCTTACACTCCCAACTGTGAAAATGAAAATGTTTGTAAGCAGTGTTGAGGAATTTGCCTAAAAATTAAATGAATTGTTTTGTATTTATATAAATCTATTCCAGCCTTTCCGCAACAGCACACACAATTTGGCAGCAACTTTGGTTATTATAAAGTACAGGAAACGATGCTCTCAGCCCAGACCGATAGTTAACACTTAAGGATTCATAAAAAATACCACAGAATATGCAAAGCGCTGACGGATAACAGGTATTAAAAAAAAAGTTTGTGCTGCGATATAAACAACTGAGCTGTGGAGAAGCACCAAGGTCACAAAGGGGCTTTTTACAACTCTGGGCAAAACCATATGATTCAAGAAATGTGGCTTAACAGTGCCCACCAAAACCACCTTACAAGCTGCATGTCCAGTCAATTGAAGGGAAACCAAACTGATGTCAAACCTTCAATAAAACCCCTAAAAGACAGCAACTTAAATTAATTAATTTACAGTGACTTTTACTCATATTCAAGAATTGCTACCACTACTGAAGGTTTGGTATGGTTTAGCAACAAAACTTAAATGACGCACACAAATGGAATTCAAATGCTCAACACCATATGTGTCTCACTCTTCTTTCAACCTTGCTACATAAAGGAGCACTAATAGCGGCATTGGCACTGGATTTTGGCATCCGACATACATATTTTCTTGTGAAATTATTCAACTTCAACGCTACGTAAAAACACTTGGTTTATGGGATCCTCCTCTCATGAAAATTATGTAATAGGATTGGATTCCAAAAATATCAGAACAAATGTGGAAGTAGATTTATGTTGTTATAGCTATGACAAAAGAACACAAAGGAGGTTGTGGTGGACACCAACAAAGTGTGTGAAATTGATACAGAGATTATTCTTCACATCATATCTTGTACAAATGGTAGACGTTGTTTTTGACAATATTTTGAGCATCCACATAAATCAAAATGTCCCTATTTGTACCAAGTGTTTTAGTTACCAAACCTTTAAGAACTTTGTATGCTGAGAAAAGTGCCAGAATAAATTGTGACCCCAACCCTAAACCTAACCCAGAATAAATTGCATAATGAATGTAATCAGTCAAACCTTGCTGATTTCTTTAACCTTTCACCTCACCTGTCCATTTGAAAGTGGATATTGTCAACAGGAAGTTACAGAAATATTTAAATGATAGAAAGGTGTGTTGGGGGAAATTAAAAACAATAAATGTTGGGATTACTGCTAAAAAACATCACTGACTGAAATCCATGTTTTTGCAGAATTTCCCAAAAATAACATGCCTACAGAATCTGGCGACTGTTTCGTGAGCATAATTATTATGAACCTCTGAGCGGCTAGCTTCGATTACAGCTGACCTCATCTCAGTGTTTACATGAATAGCAACCGCTTATTATCCACCCGCACTTATGCTAATGCGATATGTACATACATTCCTGTAATGCTAAGTGGCTGAACCCCAGCAGTCAAGTGAGCCACCACAGACTGCTCTGTGAGGGTGGCTAGCAGCAGACTGCTAACAGTAAAGGGCCCAGAGCCAGGCTGTTGAGCCCCTGTGCACCAGTGATAATCTGCCAATAGAAGGAACTAATGCAAAGGGAGCTCAATAAAAATGTTGTGAGGGGAGAAAAGGGAGAGAGAGAGAAAAGAGCTCTCCAGACCTCCTTTTTCCCTACTCAGCCTTCGAGCCCAGATGTTTATGGTCTGTATAAACTATTGAGGGCTCGAGAATGTCCCCCACTCATGAGCGAGCAGCAGCAGTGCAGAAGCCCAGACTTATCACTCTCTCCCTCTCCCTCTTTCTCTCTCTGTCTGTCTTGACTCCCTCGCTGTAAATCCATCCAGACACACAAGCATGGGCGACAGCTGGGAAACAGAACTATTGCTATTCTCCAACGACACTCAATCATGACCCCTCGAACCATTTCCACACACTTCCAAAAAAAAGTTCTCCCCCACATTGACTTATTATTCTACCTCACATAATTGTTTCTCTTGCTCACACAATCTTGCTCATGTCCTCAAATACTACTGTAAAATCTATCATCCAATATCACATTATCCACTCTTTAAATCCACAGTCATCTCTGTCTCTCTCTCTCTACACTTTCCCTCCTCACGACCCTTTCATATCCCCCCGTCTATTCTCACATCTCTGTGCGTCGGAGGATACGGTCTTTCATTGTCTGAGGTTTCTTTTTGCTCCGCTCCGTTTCCAGCACATGTGGTATCAAACCGACCTACATGGGTGCGATAAAGCAAACAGTCCGTGGTCCCTCCCTGACAGACTAATTTGAACAAATTCTCAAATTGCACCCCAAATTGAAAGCACATTGGGGTGCGGGCGGCCATTACTTATAAAAATCTGGATAAGTGACCAACAATGAGGCCAAAATAATGCATGGGCAACTACCCTTGTTACTGCAAGCAGCTGGGTAGCCAGACAGATGCTCAGATTGTGCCCGCGGTTGCACCAGTGCGGCTGTCTGAGCCATATTTCTGACATATGACGTGGCAGGAATTTTTGCTATGGTATGGCTGTAGGGTGGGGAAGTGTGTCCCTGCCCCGTGCCGAGTGTACGTACAGGGCTTAATGACTCTGAGGAATGTTAATCAGAGGTTCAATAAACAGAACCAAAAACACACATAATGCGGGCAGATGTGTATGAAAGATTGCTGTTGCCCTTTGGAAAATGTTGGATCAGAATGGGGGGTATATATTAGTAAGAGATTGATTGGGGTTGGAGGAAGTCATCACATGACCTGTAATCACTAATACTTCCTGGGCTTGGCTCAGTATTTCCCTTCCCTCTCCTTTTTTCTGTATTCTGGAAGCTCGGCTCAGCTCCAACGCTGTTTGGTGAGTGAAGCCAGAGGTCTATTCTCTGGACGGGGTTACTCCTCGTCTATGATTGTGTTTGTTTGTGCTGCGGGGAAACGAGAGAGCGGTTTCAGTTTCCAAATCATCAGCCCTGCAGGGTCTGCATAAAGCCTCAACCCTCCTCCTCAGCCTCCTCAGCCTCCCTTAGACGTTCATTTACTAACATGGTTCCTCTTGCCCTTCGGCGCTCAGTGTCAATAATACACGCTGCTCGCTTCCCTGAACGGCCCCTAAACAGGTCAGTCAGTCCAGGCACGAGACGGCAGCATTCATCTTTTTGATTGTCGGGAACTGATCCAAAGCAATTTCAACTGGGCAAGTGGAGAGAATTCCAGAGACATCTCCTCTGTCTAGAAAACACACAAGGTCTGAATCATAAAACAGGGCAGCGACGGGCAGAGTCGTGGTGCAGCACGCCTAAGTCGTGGCTAAGTCGCGCAGCCTGTGGCCATAATGAAAACTGCTCTGCAGAGGCTGCCCAGTGGCGGTCAGACAGATCCACCCGCTGCACAATGAGGCTGTTATACTCAAGCATCTCTCTCTGCCCAGACCCTGTGCGCTGAGAAAACTGTTGACATCCACAAAATACAGTTCCCATTACATCACGCGGAGGCCCATCGCAATTTTTTGGGAGTAATGTTAAATATAGTTGAGCCATCAGTCACTCCACCCAGCGTGGTGTCATGATATTGTGCAGCCGCAGCAAAACCAGCACTTAAAATGTTTAGTACAAAATGCAAAGACTTCAAAGAAGGGACACGCTTTTCAACAATCACACTGCTCCTATATGTTTTTTTTTTAATCGGAAACAGTAGACATACCTAATGTCTCAACTACACATCTCTGTGTATTCCAAGCGGCAGCCTTGCCAGATGTTACATGTTATATCAAAATGCAATTTGCATACCGCCTCAGAAAACTGGCTTTGTTTCCCAGCCGAAACATATGAAGCATGGATTGCAGCGAGGAACTCTTCAAAGGTTAGAAGCTCAAATGTAGTTGCCTCCATCGCAAATTGCAGATCAACTTTCTTTGCTGTGCTGAACACACAGGCCTAGCGTGATTCCTGAGGCAATGCACCTGGGCTTCATCTCTCTGGACCATGTGGAATAAGGCGCAGCAAAGTCAAGTGGGGGATGTAGTTGATGGTTATCTTGATAAGGGGGGAAAACCCCCTTAGTTTCCATAGCTCTGCTTAATACTTTGTAGCCCTTTTGGATAAATGAGTTTCCAGTAAAGGCTATTTCATTGTTTTGTCTTACGGTAATGTGAGTATAGTGCGGTGACAAAAATAAAAGTGTCATGTTATTTGCTTGGGTTTGGCAATGTTTTGGTCTCACTTCTCATCCAAAAGTAGAGAAAAGTATGAAAAGTGGCTTGCGTCTTCACTGAAAGTTCATTTTTACTTGATTCCTTGGCAGAGATGGATGCCAGTGCTGACTTTAACTTAAGCACAAACAGCAGAATGTACAACAGGAATGTAGTTCACCAAAATCACTGTTCAAAATCTAAATGTCTTCAATTTTCGGAACTTCTAATTGTTCCGTTTTTTATCATCAATCAAATTTCGAGTAACATAAGCTTATATCTACGTATTTGTTACTCTCAATCATATATTTGTTGCACAGTGTACTTACTTTCCCTGAGGTAATTGAGATGAGAGAGAAGCACTTCAGCGTTGTACATGGTGGTGAGCCGAAGAAAGTCATCCTTGCCCATCTTGCAGAGCTCTTTGCCATCTGTGTTCTGAAACATGGCCGTGTCGATCTCCACCAGGCCGTACTCCTTGATGGCCCACTCTAGCCACTGGCGCACATGATCCTGTGACCACAACGAGGGGTCTGCAGGGAGAAAAAAGAAGAGAGACGATGTTAATTCACTCATAATAATTGTTGGACAGTTGCGAGAGCCCCGTATCTGTCTGAGGTAAACGGAGGGGGGCAAGGAACAAATTGGAAACAGAATGTATGTAGGGTTTTGTATCAGGAGCAGACCTCGCTCAGAAAGCTGTAAATATTCTTTGTCTTGTTGTATCGACATGAACAGGATTCGCCAGATGACTCATATTATGTTCCAGGTAAATAATCTTCCACAGAGTACGCTCTGAAACCCCTTCCTGTGATTGTACACACTATGGAATATGTTTTCAATCACATTTGCAAGTACTATTTGACCCAAGTTTGATATAGTCAATCTGGAAGCCAAGCCCCAAACTCACCACTTGTGGTTTAGGAGGGGCCTCCATGTGGAGATCTTATTAGGTTAATGGGTGAGTGGACGTTTGCATCAGTTTAGCACTTACTTTTGTATAGCCTTAACAATGGAAAATTAACCAAGGCTCCATTCGATTTTAATGAAATTCTGCTCATTGTGCTCATTTTTGGTAAAGTACAGTCATTGTGTTTGGCTCTCTGGCTTACGTCTAGCAACTTAATCAGCTTACATGTTAAAATAACTTTTCTATAAGCCATAACATTTAAACTACCCTTGTTACTTCTCAAACGATGTTGTTTCACTTTATAGAAGATCAAATTTGTGAAACTAGTGAAGTAATATATAGGCCTGGCGGACAAACAGACATCACTACCTGCATGCATTCAGCCGTGCTCCCACGAGTGACGTAGAACATTGGAACAATGATATGCCCCACAACCCAGCTAAATAGAAATAGGACTTGTAAAACATTTACAACATTGGCTAAATTATACCCAAACAGAGGAGGGATTCTGTCTGTAAACGCAGCAGCAGCTAGAACAATTAGCACCTGTATAAGTACGCAGCAAATACAGATTCACTGTTTTATGACACATATTCAACAGGTTCACGTTTTCTATACTAACATACCTGCAGGTACAATGACTCTCCGTTCATTGGTGGTCATGTTAGGGGGAGGGGCATTCTTCTCATCCATGTAGTTTCCATAGTTCATCTGAGATGCTTCGTTACCCCCGACAAGCTTATTGCATTTACCCACACTGCAGTCCACTGGAGACTCCCTGCTACAAAAACACACATACAAGAAAGTTGTAAAAATATTATCAGCAGATAAATTGGGTGTTGCTGGTTTTCTTTTCCAGTCATTGACTTTGGCAATGGTTACATAAGCCTTACACAGGCCAGGGCCCAGTCTACTGAAGATTAGAGGCAAAAAAGCGAAGGTTAGTTGCAGAAAAGAAATGACTTGTTGAATGACAAATGATAACATTTATAGCAGCGGCTGTATTAATGACAAACAATTGTCCAATGTGTCTATTTAAGATTGATAAAAACTCATATCTCAATGAACAAAAAGTAATGTAAGACCCAGGAAGTGGTTGTCATGCCCTACCTGGATCCATTCATGTGCTCATATTCTCTCTTGACGTTGACCCGCACTGGCTGGTTGATCCACTCCTGCTGTGGGGGTAAGGGGTTGATTTTGTGGGTCTGGCCGTAGTCCTGTGTGCCAGATGCAGTCATGTCTGTCTTGGGGAGAGGGGCAGCAGCAGAGTATGGAGGCTCAAATAGGGACTGGTCTTCACTCACCACTGATAGCGCCTCCTGTAGGTAGAAGGAAAAAATACTTAGTATGTCTTTCATGACTCATTTTACAATACTAGCACATTATTATCATTATGTGTTCAGTCATGTAAGCCGATTATATTCATAATAAACAATATCCACTCTTAGAGTACTTCAATAGTCTGGGAAATAGACTTGTATACTTAAATGCAGAGTTAGATTAGAAGATCAACACCAATCTTAAATCTGTCTTTTTAATATAAGGTTACAGCCAGAAGCTAGTGAGCTCAGAATAAAAACGTGGCTTTGGGAATCAACACATTTGAGGTGTTTTGGTTTTACGTGTTATAGTTTTTTTTAAGTTGATGCCTGGTAGAAAAAAATAACTTTTTGTGCTATCGGAAAAAAAAGATAAACAGCATGCATTAAATAAAGAGTTTAAGGGGTGCTTGCAGCTGGTTTCTTTTACATTTTAGAGAGCGTTGGCTAGCTATTTTCGTTGGCTTCTTTATGCTAAGCTAACTCTCTCCTGGCTGCAGTAACATAATTAACAGACAGATATGACAGCGGTATCAATCTTCTCATCCGACTCCGTGCAAGAAAGGAAATGTCTGAAGTTGGGAGATATACTCATGTAATACATATGATAAGAATAAACTCACAAACAGATACAACTGCAGGCTTTCATTTGACAGTACACAGAAACCTGTGATGTAAAATGTTCAATCTCTTGTGTATTTTTTGTTTACAGCAATTATGTGCAGTTATGAGTCATATCGCAGTCTGGCATCCTAAGTAGATTGTGTACACAGCTCAAGTACCATCTGTAACTTCCTGTTGATGTTACCGTGACTTCAATCTTGCCCCCAATGGAGTAAGACACCTACCACCGTACTGGTTTTCTGAGATCATCAGTCAAAACGCTTTTCTAACAGTAATGACCCACTGGTTTACAAATAAACCAACATAATGGCTTCGTAAATGCTCACGTTTACTATATGGGCTGACAATTAAACATGTTCCATACAAAATATCTCAGATGTGTGATAGCGTACTCATTTTTCGTTTCTAGCATTATCATACTTGGACCGAAAAAATCCCCTGTCATGCAATGCTGTGTCTGTCTTTTCTGAGCGTTGGGCTTCCCCCCACAGCTGAAGACTCAACAGAAGCAGGGGGGGGGTCACAGATACACTGAACCCTCTGCTGTGGCTCAGCTGGAGCAATGTAAGTTTATTAAAGAAAACAAACGCAGACACTCGCGGCTGGCCAAGATATTACGTGCTTTCCAACATGCTCCTCGTGTAACGTCCTGGGAGTAAAGCATGGGTTATGTACTTGGTGGAATACATTTACCATTCAGAAGTCACTCAATGCTGTGACAGTGAACAAAGTCGGGCAATGTCACCAGCTCAGACAGGTGCCAGGCAACTTTAACTGGCACAGAATGGGGATACTGAGTCAGCATTTGTTAAAATTGTTCCATCCATCATTGGTAACAATAATCAAAAAGAAAACAATAAGTCAGAATATCAAGTGAAATCATGACAGTCATATGCTTCTGCTATAAGGATTAGGCTCGGGTCTGATGCACATCTGGATCTGATAGGATCTGATGGCACAGCTTAGACCGAGACGTGTCTAATTCCAGAGGACTGAATTATTTCATTCCAAAATGCCACATATCAGCTTCAGGGGGAAAAATACTACTTGATATTCATTGATCAGTAGTTCCAATTTCTAGCCGTTTGCATTCTCTGAAATGTTGCTTTTATGAAAGCAAAATCCTCATAATCTCAGATGACTTCAGTTTGATTCCATTCTGAGAAATTGCATGCAAGTTAAGAACTTTTTACTTAACCCAGTTTGGAAGATAAATATCTCTATTTTTGAGGGTGTGACTTTATAATTGTATGCCGTATGTAAACACATGCCAAAACACTACAGCGACTATGAATGGCAGAGATGTTTTTTTGCCAAGTCCATTTTGACGCTCAGTTTTCCTTATCCAATAATCACCACCTCTGTGTCTTATGTCTGTTTGGTGGTTGTAAAAAGTATCAATTCAACAATAAAACAACTTGTACTTAAAATAAAAAATATAATGCTGTTGAATGAGTTCTCAAACTGAAAAAATAACGATGACTAAACTGTCTTACTCAGTTAATGTATTATTGTCAACAAATATCATCAATATACTTGATAATATTTGCAGCATATACTGTACACCATTAAATTGGTGCTTTTCCTCAAGTTAAAATAATTTCAATCAACATTTGAAGCCAATTAGTTTGGATAAAACTAATATAATAAAAGAAAGGGAGAGTTGAAGGATATTGCTCAAGTTATCTCAATGTGTAATTGCACTATAGTGCCCTCTGTTGTAATGCCACTAACCCACAACTGTCTGTGTCTAAAGTAATGGTAGAGATATGCAAAGTGTTACAGCTTGTAGACACAAGAGTAAAAGGAAGCAGACAAAATAAATGCTTTGTTAGTGCCACATGTAAAAACACAACTTTACTTTTTCAATAACATACTACTCTTCAGGTTAGTGGGTGGATAAAACTCTCTGGAGTATTAATCTATCTCACCAAAATTAGATTTCCAGTGATTTCATCAGTGGATCCATCAAAGTCTGAACCCTGGCAGCAGGGCTCGCTATCTGAGCGGAGCACACCAGCTAGTCTGCGGATGATAAATTGTAAGAGTGAGGGAATGTCTCATTACGGTCTGATAAGGCCTCACTGAGCTATTATGACTGTTGCACGTTATATTTACAGTGACATATCAGCCTGTGCAATTGAAACCATGATTGGCAAGTGGTGTGTGCCTATCAAGATTGCAGTGGGTTTTTTAAAAATAGAAAAACACCACTCTTTTGTAGAGAAAGCTAAAAGGATGACAGATCAGTGTCCATGTTTTCCTTACAGTATCTGCATGGAACACATTGAGTGAGAGGCAGTTTTCTGTCTGTCTCAAAATGTCCAAAGATAATTCTTTACTCTAAGACAATCGTGAATTTCTCCTGAGTACCATTCGTGAACATGATCCCAAAAACGTCTATACAGCTTTTGAGGATGAAACATTATTTTGTCCTTTTTTGAAAGCATACATAAGATTTGTATTCTATTTTTGCAATATTTCGTATAAATATATCTGCAATGCCACAGACAAAGAGAGGAAAACACCAAATAAATCATGGCTCAGTTGCTCCAGGTCCTATTAAAAGCATTGTGCGAGTGTGACACCTGCTGGGAGCCACCTCTATTCTGTTTACATCAACCAAGTCCATCTCCCCAAATGCGTCACGACGCAGACTGGATATATGCAAGAGCTCCACATCCAGACTACACGTGTGATTGTTTGGCGTTCACACACACAGCCATCTAACAGGAGCCACCCAGGGGAGGGGGGGGGCATTCCTGTCTTTTGTTTAAGGAGGAAAAGGAAACCTGTCAGGAAAAGATTGTGTGGAGCAGGAAGCTCTCATGGTTAGAGAGCCCTTCCTTTCCTTTAGTGTGCCAGAATGCAGCAGCCAGTCATTTACACCCAAGGATTCAATTATGATTACATTAATTGTCACAACTCCTTGCTTTGTTACAGGAATCCAGGCTGAGACTTTAATGTCCTTCTGCAGCATGGCTTTCACCCCCGAAACAAACAATCCCAGCTCTGTGAGCGGTGAATGACGCGATTTAAGTGACTATATGCAGCCTGACATTTTTGTCTGGCCAACGTTTACACTCTCCGAAAGCTCACACCACACCCAGCCGCCACAAACCCGCTACTTTAAGAGTTCCAAGAGAAAACACGTCGCATTACTTTTCAGTAACAAAACGAGTACCCTAAATGCAAACGCTGCATTCTTGTGAGTTTACACTTGCTAACCGGAGGACACATACTGAACGCGTGCATGATGAACTAACGGGGACTTGCCATTCAACATCTGGTGGCTGTGGCCATAATGCATCTGGAATTTAACTGTCGGGGGCCAGTAGCAAAAGTTAATATAGCCTACACCAGTTCTCTTGACTACAAACAAACCGTTTCAAAATAGTTGTGCAACTCTAGAAGTAGCAGGCTAAGGTATTATTGTGATGCTTGTGGGTTTTAAGTGTTGCAAACTGCCGCATGAAGTTACCAAATGACAGCTTTGCTTACACTTTCACAAAACTCTCTCTGTAGCGGCGAGAGAGAAGTTACAGTTATCAACAAAAACACAGACAGAGGTGTTATTTCTTGTATAAATGTCAAATCATCACACTTTTTTGACCCACGACAGGATCTTCGGACCGAGCCGAGCGATGTGCCACACCGCTGTGGCGCAGCTCGACACATCGTATCCAGCGGTACATCCAGTCATGGCTATTGCTCAATCCCCGCTGCCCAGACTAAAATCGTGAATAACTTAAACATAAAAGTACATGATCACGTTGTCTTATATAAATAGCCACTCCTTTTTGCTTTCCCATACGTGCGTAATTGTGCGCTTGGTCCCCAAAATCCAAAGCGTGATATTCTGATTTATGAATCCAAACCGTAGCGTATCCTCACAACCACGAAGCATATTAAAAAAACAGAGTGGATACTTTCAAAGAAAAAGGAGGACATCTGGTTACCGCTTTCAGACAGAGAGAAAAAAGCCGCTCATCGTCGTCAGATTTGAGGTCCCAGCTCACAGACCGACACAGAGGGGCATTTCAACCCATTGCTTTAAAAAAGGAGGCGCAACTCCGAAAAAGCAGTCTCCCACAAACTCATACACCCCGTTCTCCACCCTTACCTTAATAGTTCCGTCCATTTTGCGCAATTTTCAGCGGACTCCGACAATATCCCAAACATGACACGTTCCTGAATTAATTCCAGCCCCCGGTATGTGGCAGAGAGAAAGAGACACTTTTACCGGATTGAGTTTTTTCTTTCCTCTAAATTTGGGAAGTGAAGTCACCACTGTTGAAAAGGTTGAGAAGGAAGCTGTGTGTCACCGAAAGCCCTGCCTTCAAAAAAGCAGGATACTGTCCCAGAGAGATAAGCAGGGAAAACAATTGAGTGTTCGCTCCGCTGTTATGTTTTCTGCTCGGAAATATTTACAGGATGACTGCCTGCGTTGTGCACAGCCATTGCTGTTGTAGCCTGCTGTAGAATAGGCTTGTGTGTTTTGCTTTCCCAGTAGTGTCACAGATGGTGTGGAAGGGTTTAGTATTTTGTCCGAGTTATGAAATATTTCTGCACACATTTAACTGAGGTTTTGGGGAATGACTTTTTACTGTCCCACTCTTAAGTTATGTGATCCCATGTTTTAGAGCCCTTTTGGTTCCCGCCTACACATCAGACTTACATCTGGCCATGCCTCCATCCCTCTTTAAATCAGCATATGCTCAATTTTACCCTATATTTCATAGTGAAAGTCATACATTAAAATAAAATTTATCTTTCATTGTGGACAGATGTTTCTCTCCTTCTGCTGATGGAGCTCTAAATCAAAACAGGAGACAAACCTGAACACCTATGAACGGACTTGTAGCAACCTTGTCTTTTTTGTTACAGCTCTCTGTGAAGTTTTCCTGAGACACCATTAATAAAACCAAGCATTCAGCTCCTAACCGCACTACAGTCTGAGGGTCTGCTCTACACGTGTGCGTCTGCTGTTCAGCGCAGGAGTGAATGGATGAAATACAGCCTGCTTCCACACATGCGCATTTAAAAAGGGGTAAACGGGGTTTTAAATGTATTATTGTTGACTTTGCTATAGTTATCCAAAGGTCCCTCCCTACTTCCCTAAAAAAAATCCCCACCCCCACATAGGTATTTTCTTTCCTCTTCGTCTGCCCTATGAAATTGCCCTCATCAATTCAAGCATAATTTTGGTGCAGATGCTAGACATGGAGCCAGCTCTGAACGTGGACAGACCAATAACACTGCAAGAAATCCTCACAGCACATATAGCATTTTAGTGATATATTATTTACAAGAAATGAAACGCATACAAGAAGTAGTAGGCCTACATAACTCAGATTTAGAGATAAAAAGGAAATTCACTCTAACCCAGATTGTATTTGATTTGTTTCATTGATTTTTAACAAGCTTTAGCAGATCACCAACGATTTATCCATATCAAGAAAATCACATTTGATAGGGGATAACTTTACTTTGGACCAAAGTCAATGTATCTCCTTACACTGCCATGTTTGATAGCCTGATGTTTAACAATATCAACCGATTTAGTTGATATGATGAATACTTTTTGCAGCTTTGGGGTTCTGCCAAACAGAGACTCGCTGGGCTGACAGCAGGGCCGGCCTGTCTGCTCTCGACTTGGGGGTCTGTTGGGGCTGAGGGCCCCCACCATTGGGACCACCACATCTGGATCCTGCTAAGGGTCAAGGCTTCTCCTGCCTGGGGCCAGTTCGGGCTCGGGTAATTAAGGGAGACACCTTGTTTAACTCTTCAGTGACTGCTACGGTTTCTTTTTTTTTGTTTTTCTATACATTCCTAAGTCTACGGTCTTATACTTATTTTATTTTAGGTAGGTGAGTGATAACGTGGCAAATGAAGGAGGTGCTTAAGACGTCACCCCCAATTGGTGAACTACAAAACCTCCTTTATGACCAGTAATATATTAACATCATTTTAGTTTTTTTACTTGGATGTGCGTCTTGTATGACACCAGGTTCCATTGATAAAAACCCAAGCTCGCCCTCCATTGAACTATAATCGTATAATTAATTTAGGTTTAGTAAATAATTCAAATGCGGTGTTAGGATATAATTCTATGTATGCTCTTCAAGGAACAAAACAAACCCTCATTTTCCATAGGAAGTCTGATAATCAAAAACCATCAACAGCTTCCCTCACACACAAACTCTCTTTAAATACCTGCCATCCCAGTCATAGAACATTATCAGGAACAGTGGGGGTCCAGGACCTACCAAGACCATAATGAATACAGTGGTAACAAACATTTTGGAAGGCCAATAAACAGATGCAAGTTGGTTTACACAGTGAACCACAGAACATCTGGCTTGACGCTGGAACTAGACAGCCAGACATTTCTTCCTTACACCACGAGCCAGTAGCTCCTCAGTCTCTCTGCAGGGGAACCAGCCAGAGGTGGGCGGACACTTTACAGAGATTATGTTCAGCAACCTTTCAATTAATAGGCCCAACCTTTCGATTTTCATCATATATGGATATCTACTCATATTTTCTTTAGGGGTAATTTGGTTACAGTTTTTGAGAAAGTGAGTATCAGGAGTTTAATTTGTTGTACTGTGTGAAAGCAATCTGGCAAAAGGAAAATATAAAAGGGGGACATAAACTTTAAGTGATTGCTTTAATCAGGCAGTGTTTGTTAACAATGTGTTAACAAAGACTGAGTAGATTCATCAAAACTGACAAAACAAGTCAACATCCATGTGGAGCTGTCCTCACCATTTCAAAAAAAAAAAATCTTGAAAAATAGATTATAAAATATTTTACAGATTAAGGTTCTTAATGGGTATACATTATTTGATTAGTCCCGACGTGGGAAATTAAGAATCCAATACTGAGTTTTGTGAGAAACATTTTTTAGCGGAGTGTTATTCCAAAGAAAAATAGTCACTGTCACATGAGCCTATAACTTTGCTCTTTATCAGACAGCAGACTTGTATTCTGATCATTCCTTCTCTCAAGCTAAAAGACAGCCCGAGTCAAAATACTGAGGGCAAAAAGTGGAGTATGCAGCACATATAAGCACGAACTGTCTGGCCCCTCGCTCTAGGCCATAATTAATTTGAGATTTATTTTTATTGGAGAGTTCCAGTCTCGCCTGGCCTTAACCAAACAAAACCAAATGTTGGGCCGTGGATTCGCTTGAATGAGGAATATTTCTTTAAATCTCGTATTGAGGCGTGCCACATTCTGACCAATATCTCCCTGAATGTGAGTGAGCCAGTCAGTGCAGCACTTGCACGCGAAAAATACACGCTATCCCTTGAATAAAAAAAATAACATTATTGGATTCAGAACAAACAGAAATGATCCGGACTGCATCTCCACAGCAAATCAAAACAGCTATGCAAGATACATTGAAAGTTAACTCTTTCCATGGTCAAGTGAAGTCTCTGTTTGTCCTTCAGGGCCTCCTGTCTTTTTTTAAGGGAGCAGAAAGACTCATTTAATCGCGTATTTTCTCCTCAAACATTCTGCGCTATTCAACGCTCTCACAACACAGGAATTGTTCTGGGCCCAGAAACGCGGAGCCTTTCTGCAGTGGCACAAACGCTGTGGCTGGATGAAAAGAACCCTTATTCAAAGGGGAAATAAGTCTTCAAAACATTAACAGTCGCCCTTGGAAAAATACCTTGATTATGAAGATATTACCATAGCAGCTCGCCTCTGCACAATGGCTCATTATAATGGCACAATCCGAGCAGTCACCCTCGGAAGATTATTAAAATGGATGTGAGCAAACGTCATTCGGCCAAATTAACTGACTTAGTAAATGCGAACAAAGTGCACGTTCAACTTGACATTAATGGACTTATATACATGGTGATATATAAAACATATTTAATGGTTTCAGTGCCTCAGATATGTAGCAGTTGCAGGTATTTACGCGGTGTGACGCGATGCCGCGTTTTATGTGAAAACCAGATGTGCGCTGTTTGCTTTATTTACACAGGGCTGCGGTGGAGAGAGCAAGAGAGAGAGAGAGAGAGAGAGAAAGAGAGATGTATGACGTCAAACATAATAATGATCCATAACAACAGCGATTCTTAAGACTTTAAGATGTTTTCAAATCGACAAAATCAAATGTATCTTGGCACTCCACATAGACCACAACAGAGCCACATTTCAACAAGTGGCTTCACAGCGTAAACATGCAGCCATTCTCGACTACAAGGGAACAAAATAGCAAGGTAATCAAAAGCCTGGCACCTGCATAAAGCTTATGCACCCTTGGTCATTTTGAATGAAGAAAGTCTTTATTTGTCTCATAAAACCAGTGTAAACATTGCATTCTACTTGAAACACATCAAGAGAAAGATACATATTTGAATATCACAGCCAAAAAAACATTTAAAAAAAAAGAAAGGTCCCCAGTTTGTTCCTCCTACATTACCTGAGCGAAGAGACGGTGGTGTCTTACCTTGACGTAAGACGACGTGTCAGGGACAGTTTGAAACATGTCTATTGGACAGACAGGCCCAAGGGTGTTCAGTGTCCAATGGGTCCTGAGGAAAGAAAAACATGTTAAAAAAACGTAATAATACATTGGATTTTACCTGATGTGTTTTAATTGTATTTGCAAGTCGTTTAATTGTTATCTGTTGTTGGTACACTTTTAAACGTAAAATACTTCGCATAAAAGTGTTTGCTCGTTGTCATCAAGAGATCAGCTACACCTGACGTGACAGCAAACATTCACTCAAATTACCGCAGGTTTTGTGAACTTCGACACATGGGTTACCACTTCCACCAAAATAAAGGAAAGTCAAATTTGCTTAACGTCCCCCTGTATGTCTGACTGCACACATCATCCTTTGATTCATTCAGGCCTCCGTTTTCTACAAAGTGGTCAGAGGTATTAGATACGGGGAGGTTTTAATGACCTGCTGTCCGTACATTAACAACACTAACTTATGCACTACTGGTAACATGGATGAATGACTCCAAGTCGCCCAATAGGAGCTGGGCAGCAAGATGAAGAAGAAGGGCCCCATCCCAACCCCCATCACGTTTTCCCCCTAAAGCTTACCACATATTGAAACACTTTTCGCTTTAATAAGTGCAGCTTACAAAGTCTAGGGTGAAAGGGCACTTGGAGGACGGTGTCTTTAGCCCTTCCCTCCCTGTGCAATTATTAGGAAAGCAGTGGCATATCCCAAATGCTTGTTATATGGACTGTGTGATAAAGCAAACCTATATGGACCTCTATATTGGCATTCAGGACTCACCACTAAAGTTCAACTTATCTTAACAAGGCCTATGGGACATCATTCTCCTGTTCAGTAGCATGTGTGCTCTGACCTGCCAGCATTATAAATATACAATCACCAACCTTTTACCGACTCTGGAGTGGAGTATAATTAGTAGTGGATGCAAATTACGCGCACTTGTGATCTTAAGCCAATACCTGACAGAGAAGAAATACTCTAAAATAAAACGCTAACAAACACAGGGGAACTTAAACATTCCTACACACGATCAGAGGTTTAACAGTACTTACATTTTCCCTTTTTACTGCATAATTTAATGTTAAAGTTTTTTCATGAATTCCAGCCTCGTGATAAATAAGCCGAGAAAGGAGAAGGGGGTGTATATGAACGTGGCACGATTTAAATACTTGTAGAGGACCAACGTTTTTGTTTTTGTCTTCTCTGCTCCTGCAGGCAAACGCAGGGCTCGCCTCATAAAGTTCCCCAAATGCATCCAATTTCTACGCGGTAAAAAGAGCATAGGATGCCGCATCTGCAGCCAATTAGGCAGAGGAGGGCTGGTGAATAACGGCGTGAACCTCGCTCCGAGACAGCCCCGTGGGCCGGGACCCCTCTAGTGTTACATTTTAAACATCTTACCTTGCTGTTATCCATCATATAAGAAAGCTAACTGATTTCCAGCTAATACGCATTACATTTTTTTTTACATCGGCCTTTTGACTAAACCCCTTTGACTGCGAAGAGAGGTGAACAAAGGTGTATTTTTTTCGATTGCAAAATGGGTATTTAACGCAGACTTTTAATAAGGTAACACTTTGGAAATAACTCTGATGCGATAAGACACACTATAACAAACGTATTTGTAATATATGTCACAGTTTCTTTATCGGAATCATTTCTAAACATCCCCCTTTTTCGGATCGATTGTGTTGCAATCTGTTTTTACAATGTGAATGCGCATCAGCAATAGTAATAAAACAAGTGGATTTATTGTTTCATGCACGCACACCTATGCTGCAGAGTAAGTCTGAGCAGGACTTTTAGCACACACGAACTGTTGTTTTTCTCACTCACCTGTCGTGTTTCTGTCGATCGTTTGATCTGTTTCGATCTAATCACCCCGCAGCCAATTCTAAATAATTAGTCCCGTCCAGGCAAAGCCGTTTTCCAATGATGATGACAGTTGAGTTATTTTGAAAGGGGCTGAAAAGGAGCGCCGGGTGTATGAATGGAAATGTTGCTGAGATGGGAGAGCCGCGACCAATGAGCAGCGAGAGAAAACCTCCCCTTGCCTGCCGAGAGAGGCCACTGAACCATGAAATAAGGGAAAAGCAGACAGGGAAAGAGCTTCATAAATCTGTTTATGCAGTCTTTTAGTAATGGACAGCGTCGAAAAATGCAATAGGCATTTTTGTGTTTTGATTTGTGATCAAATGCATACACAAAACTGCTAAAATGACATGTCCGTAAACTGCTCTGGGAACAGTCTGACAACTTTAGTGTATCGTTGTCAAAACATTATTTTTCCAAACGAATTGTTTGTTTCCACCCTTCATCGGCAAAAAAAAACAACGAAATCAGGCACCCACTGCAGTTATTGACATGTTTAATAATGCATCAATCATAAGTATCAAACAATTAGAAAACATTTGATTTTCACACCTCTCTGCAAAAAAAAACATTAATTAAGGCATACGATTCATTCATTCATCTTTATTCAGTAAAATGTAATGTAATAATCAGCCATCAGCAGCATCCACTCAGGATTGTCTAGATATTCATTCATGTTCCTGTCTGTCCTCATGCTGACAGTTCCCGTAGGAATACAACCAGCAGCAGTTCCTTTGCAGTGCCTTTACTCTTCCTGCTCAGTTGACCCCACTCAGTTCACTAACTTCATTTCCTTCACATTGCTGCCCTCATCTTAGACCAGGGGTCCCCCAAAGGATGTGGGGCAATTCACGGCGAGGAAAGTCACCCAACCATGGCATTTTATAGCCTCATCAAGGTCGCCATATTTCACGCGGAGCAACCAAAGTGCAACCAAGAAGTCGCCTTCCTGGAGTGCATTAGAGGGCCTTTAGTAATGCAAAAAATGAGTGTGAGATGTGGGGTTTAAGACTTATTTCATGTGCTCATTGTAACAAGCTTCCATCATAAAAAAGGTGCATTTTTCGTGAGGTAATGACGTGACAAAAAGTCTGGAAACGTTTTAAAGACTAATGACACTGCTTTATATAAAACAATAACTTATAAAAACACTGCAATCCTAAAACGAAACATTACACTGACTGAATTTTCTGATTTTTTACAGTGTTGGCGGTCATCTGGTAAAAAGTTCGTCTTTCATCACCGGCTAGACCGTCTGTTTGTGGCACCGCTTCCTAATGCAATGATTAAAAACAACAACACTGATAATAATGTTCCCAGAACAAAACAATGGACGGAAATCCCAACATCCGTTTTACTGAAAAATGGCATTCATGCGCCTGCTGTGTTGCCTTCCTCAGGATACAGTAGGAGAAGTTTTCTAACACATTTGAACAGCAACTATTACATTCACAAGTAAAAAAGAAAAGAAAATGCATATGTTGTGGTCTGATAGCTGATATTAATGGTAACATTAATAAAAGGAGAGACATTATGGGACAGCAGACAAAGTAAAGGGTCCCAATTGAACCTAAAACAACTTTTGATGAACTTCAAAACTCACTCTTAAATCAGCTTTGAAAACATCACAGATTAAGTTAAATCCCATTTCAGTGGATTTAAATTAGAATAAAGGGACATAGGTTGTTATCTGTTAGCATTGCGAAATAAGTCAAATTCCATATAACTGAAAAATACTGTTTTTAGAAATGAGAACCAATCCAAGCTGTAGACACACGTATTAAAAGCTATTTACTATTTGAGGTTAATCATTAGCATTTATCTAACCTTGAATGGCAAAAGCAAGCATAATGGTATAGTGCTTTTGCACTTGTCAGAGGTTGCTGAATTGATCTACTGTAACCGTCTAAAGTTTCTGACACTGTCCTCTTTGTCCTATGAGGCCACACTCTTTCTTGGGTTTCTTTAAGGAGCTGAAGAAAAAAAATGTTATTTTTTCTTTTTTTTTGCAAAGTGCCTCGGGTCCTCTGTCTGGTTGTTTCATCAAGCCTTGCACCATCCATGACTTCTTGTTTTCTGCCATGGTATTGACATTAAATGTGGAATGTGGCTGGGGTGATTGTGCCTCTTGTGGACTGCTCACACAAAAGTCCCTTCAGTTTCCTTTCCCTAATTATTTAGCATACATTCGCTTTGATATTGTTGAAAACAGAATCTCCATATGCACTTTTATTGCAAACTTAAATCCTACTGTGCAGGGGAAACCAAACAATCTACCATCAACAGTTTCATGTATACAGTCCACAGCCAGTCTTTCCTCACTTAACATTTCAGAGCTCCTTCTCCTGGGATTCTACCAAAAACACTTGTATTTGAGATGATGCGGGCTACATCAGCGATTACATCTCCTCGAGTAAATGAAGCTCCTTACTCTGAACTGTAATGAGTTATTTATTTAGTTAAAGGGGCTACTGAGAGATGATCTGGAGATGGAGACTGGTCCCACTTTTTTTTTTTGCTCCGTGGGGAAAGAGAAAATGGCAGTGTGGCACCATGGAAGGCAGGGCAGAGTATCAAATATTTTCTTACAAGCATCCAGGCCAGATATGGAGCAGCATGTAAGCTTATGTTCAAGAGAGTGGAAGTTCTTAATATTCGCATGATTTTTTGTTATTACATTAGAGTTTGAGAGATGTAATCGAGAGACAGAAAAGAAGAGAATGACTCCCATAACTTTGACACATATTTTACAGGAAAGCTTCTTCTGTCACAAGGAAAATATTTAGTTTGCCCAAATGTACAAGATATTATCCACCAACCAAAATACAAATCAAAACTCTTACCCGCTTGTCCGTTTGAAACATCTAACACAGAGCACAAGCTCAGGGTTCTTCAAAAGAGTAGAAGTTCTTTATAGTTCTACTGCATTACAGTTTGTAAGATTTACCCGAAAGAAAAAGGAGAGAGGAGATGTATTTCAACAACTTTGACACCTCTCTTGACACAAATTGGAATGGAATCTTTTGTCATGTGAAAAAGATTTGGAAAGATTTGTGATGATATTCCCAAATGTACAAGACTTTAACCAACAACAGAATTAAAAAAAACGTATCAAAACTCTCACACCGCCTGTCCGTTTAAAATATCTCTCATAAAAGAAGCTCAAAACAGTGGAAGTTATTTATACTTCTATTGAATTAAGGTTTAATTAAACATAATCGAGAAAAATAAAATATGTATCACATCAACTTAAACACCTCTCTTGACACAAACTTCAATGGCTACGGCTTCTTTTGTCATGTGGAAAGGATTTGAAATGCTATTCCCAAATTAACAACACATTACCCAAGAACAAGATTCAAATAAACTTATCAAAACTCCTAAAATGTCTCACACAGAGCGCAGACTGCAGCCCATAGTGTGTGCGGTGATAATTAGCAACGGGAAGTATTAAATTAAAGCAAGCCAGTCATTTTATGAGGCAAGCATTTATGAAGGTAATAGCATCCCTATAAATTAACGACCTCCCAATGCCTCCTGATGTGTTGCCACTCATCAGGTCCAGAGCCAACCCCTGATAGGTCCGCCATGTGACCTCATATGTTCAGTCTCGGTATTCTTGCCCCTGGGGGTTGCGCTGAGATGAGAGCTTGGGAGAGTGGATTTTTGTGGAAGGACATGTGGTGTCGAGACAAAATGCATGTTATTATTGCATTATGATATGTTCTGGTATGCACCTAATCAAAAGAAAAGAGGGTGTATTTAGGTCAACGTCTGGCGTGTCTTTGCTTTATGCATCTACAGTGTAATACGTTTTTTTACACACCACAAAATACTGTGTATCTCCATTTTTCTGAGGGTGTAGACATGGATTTCCCAGACTACTTATCTTGTGTCAATTCAGCTGTAAATGTGGACACACCCTGCCTCTTACTCCAGACTGGGCATGGGAAACAAGGTGCTTGCTTTACATTTTAAATCAATCTGGGTTGCCAGGGAGAGTCATCCCTACCTTAACAACATAAGGCTGAAATAAAGCCTCTGAAAATGACTGCTTCTGTGGAAAAAAGCAGGGCGAGCAGGAGCAGGAGGAAGGCAGTGCCATTTAGAAAGCCTAAATCATCCCCTGAACTATAAATCCACTGACCGCTCATCATTCAGCAGCATTTTAAAAAGCCCTTAAAGAAAAACATGGAGTGAAATGAATATGCTGTCACCTCTCATTTGGGTCTGGCCCGCTGGCTCAATAAGAAAAGTGTTGTTCCCTGGAAGGCTGCTAGCCCGGGCTGAGCTCTCAGGTTTAGGGTTTACCCCTGTCCCGCATTCTCAAGGCTTTTGAGGCCCGCGTCTCTCTTTCCTCCCCCACGTCCCCCCAGACATGTCTGACAGGCTGAACTCGATGTGGGCTGCTCACCAGACTACAAAAATCATTCATCTGTGCCTTCAGACGGTCAAATCTGGATCTAATAAAGGGAGCTCGTCTATTGATCCTATTCATGGGGAAAGCTACTGCCAACTGCAACCACTGGAGGGCTCTCTGGCTCAAGCTAGAAGCAGCTCATTGAGCACTTTAATACCCCTTTGTTCAGAATGGGATACATTATAGACCATCAGTGACTATTAACGGATTACTGCAAATTAGTTGATTCATTATTCAAATCAATTTTTAGGTTACAAGTAAAAAAAAAATGTTCCAAAGAAAATATGTTTGCATTAATCATAAAGAAACTTTTACATTCGTTGTATCAAAAATGAACCCAATGTGTGCAAATATCTACAAGATGGTATAAGGAATGTTTTACTCTTCCATATACCATGTGGGATTATTGAGTCCAAAGACAACAATGGCAACCTCCCTTTTCACCTGTGGCACAAACAAACAAGTGTAACAGGAAACAGACGCTGCAGTGCTCTGACACGGATGCCAGCTAGATCAGGGCAGGACATTGTTTCTTACACTTTTGAATGAAGCCGAATGAAAGTACAGGCCGCAAAGCAAAACCACACAAAAAATCATCCTCACACAGGGGCCAGGGAGGGAGAAGGAGGCATCTGAGAATGAAGGAGGAAAGGGGACAGGGAGAAGGAGAGTGAGTCACAGTC